CGTTCGCTGATTCATGTACCAATTTATTGGATGTATACGATGTAATATAATACAATATTTGTAGATTAGTATTATCATGTATTTCATAACTCTTCAGTTAATTAGGTAAACCAAGAAGCATAGTTGATAATTAAAAGAAAAGAGAGGGTAAGACCTCAGTTTCGAACCCGAGACTCTCGCACGTTAACTCAGCAGCAAACACGTGTGCCATCGAGTCATTGTGGTATATTATTTAGCAAACTTATATTTCTGTAGTTACCCACGTTCGAGAGTTTTTTTTAAGTTTTATTTGCTTACTCTATTATTTCCAGAGCTTCATATGGATATTAAGGGTATTGACTACCTTATTACTACGGTTTATGTAATAATGTGTAAAAAAAAAGGTGGATACAAGACTCCCTATTTGAGTGTTCACCCGGTTTAAAATCGCGGATCTCGAGGAACACACGAATTCATTCGACCAATCAAAAACGTGGAACTAGTTCGAGAGTCTCGTTCAGGTGGCGCGTCGACGCGCCAAAACACAGCTCCAGATTATCACGCGTAGTATTACTATATATACACGACCAATCAAAAACGTGGAACTGCTTCGAGGGCCCTCCGCTAAGGTGGCGCGCCGAAATCAGAGAAAAATTGAGACCAACAAAAACAGGCTCATTGGCAATCTCCCTACTCATCTCTGCTGGGAGTACCTTACCTATGGGAGCTCAGGCGCTTATAGTGAAAAAATGGGAGAAACTTATGATGTCATGAAAGTTACTAGGCACTGCCGCAGTGCACTGTACTCCAATATCGGAATGAAATCTGCAGTACTGGCAGCGCTGCCAGGGTATATCGGAACACGCCGGTAACAAACTTATTTTCTGCAAAATGGCGACTGCGCATTGATGCACATGCGGACGCCACCGTTGCGCCATCTGATTGGGAGGTTATATCACTAATCTATGTTTCACTATAGCCCATTGGAGTGTCACCCCCTGATCTCACCTGCAAAAGCTACTGAGTTCCAAAGATTTTCATTAAAAAAAATTACATTTCTTTCTGTAAATACGAAATTATTTTATCATGGAGCCGCAAGATATCTATTACGACAAGAATGAATACGTTGAAACGGTAGGAAAATGTGATACCGCTGGCTGGGAATTGTTAAACGAGCTCATATAATATTGTAGGCGTCAGGAAACAAGGTTAGCCGGCAGACTGTACTATGTGGCTCTCAGAATATTGTTTTACATGGAAAAGTCATTGTGCAGTCAGATGCAATTATTAGAGGAGATCTGGCTAATGTAAGAACTGGACGATACTGCATTATTAGCAAAAATGTTGTTATTCGACCACCTTTTAAAAAATTCAGTAAAGGGTATGTCCAAAAGAATTATGAATAGGTTGTCATTAAAATCACAAGTTCCTTTATTATAGAATAAACATTTTATTTACAGAGTGGCCTTTTTCCCACTGCAAATGGGTGACCACGTTTTTGTTGGAGAAAGAGCTGTTGTGAATGCAGCAGTTGTAGGTTCATATGTGTATATTGGAAAGAATGCTGTCATCGTACGTACTTTTTTATTATCAGACGCATGATTTCTTATCCTGACTGTATTTTAAATTTCTCAGCCTGTTGTCAACATTGTCATATATTTTCTTCTTTATATATACCTAACAAGGGTTTTATGTTTCCTTTTATATATGGGTGATTCTATTCTGTTACTTTTTTTATTAAAAATTTTTCAATTCTATAATTAAACTTTTCTTTTTTTTTAATGCATATTATTACTCTATTTTATTATAAAAATGATAGTCCGAAAGGATTTTGCTACAACTTCTACAAATAGTTATATTAATAATTACATATATTTATACTATTCACGTGGTACTGACAGCCACGGTACTAACATTTTAAATTCAATTAGCAACTGTAATTATTTGATTATGAAGTTGATAATATCGAATTACGGTATTATTTAGGTTAGTAATAAGTACAAAAATCCATTACTTATGATACAAAAAATCAATAATTAACTAAATTTACCAGTACCATGGTACTGACAAGTCAATTTATGACACACCTTTTTGAAAATTGACTTTTAAATTGACACAAACTTGTTGCACAATTCCATCAGCGTTATGTTTTTAAATATTACTCAGGTAACATACTTTCAATATGGTTAACCAGTTGTTTCATTAATCTCGAGGCAGATGGTGCACGAGTCATACAATTTCTAATTCAAAAATCCGCTTAAATCTAAGGACAAAAGTTATTAAGCCAGAATTTAATATTGAATTAATATATTGACAAAAAATTGGTCAATTTTTTAAAGTTTGATTATATTCATTAGGATTTAGGGGTAATTGGTTTGAATTGTTTATTGCGACAAAGAAAATAATGAATTTATAGGTAAATTTTAGAAATGGACATAACACAGTACTGACATTTAAGTGATATACTGTAGGTTTTCTCTAGACTGCAAGTTATATTACACAGAAAAAGTGATGAAATATGTTCACGAGAATCGTATTAATACAAAAATTTTATGAATACACTGTTAATGTATAACCAGTGAGAGTAAACAGTACAGGACATTAATAATCACTGTTAGAATGGAATCACCCATATATCTATCTAAGAAGGATTTTATTTCTGGAAATATTACCATTGAATTTTAGAATACAGTCCTGATAGAATTTTTTACTGTGTTTAATATAACATTTTAGGGCAGGAGATGCATTTTGAAGGATTGCTGCTACATTGAAGATGGCGCTGTTGTTCCACCAGAAACTGTAGTACCTTCATTTACTAGATTTTCGGGTAGTCCTGCCACCTGTACAGAAGATTTACCAGAGTGTACTCAGGATTTAATGATGGACTTCACAAAAAATTATTATCAACACTTTCTGCCTGCCAAGATGTAAATTATTTTATTATAATACTAAGCCTAGTACTAATTTATTTTGATGTGACATATGAATTTGTTGTGCATACTGTAAATAATAGAATATTTTCTATTAACACATCTCTAAAAAAGCTACAGTTAACTGCTTAATCAGATAATTTAGATAATTCCAGAAAAGTTTCTGGATTCACTTTATTTATTTTACGTAATCAAACGGCTGTACTACGTCCTCGACTATTCCTCTGCAACAAAAACACCATAAAACCATACTAAAAGAAAATTTCAATATACATATAGCATATAAAATAATATGTACCTTTTATACCATATGATTTCTAGGATGAAAATAGTAAAAGCGATGAGAGTACCGTAACTAAGTGTGATAAACGCGGCGTAACATTCAGTCAAACCTACACTTACAAAACTTGCATGTTTATGACATACAGGTTTTTTCGTGTACAATCGTCTTATCTCTCGGGTCTGCAAGCCATTTTCATGTATCTTAAGGGCTCTGAAAGTTGGACTTCAATTTATCACGACTATAACGGTACTCATAGACTTAGATCAAAATGTGCATTGACTACATACCCTATACGTATAATTTCAAGATAAGGAGATTCTTTTTGAATGGCTATCAATGGGTCGAGAACGTTTAAATAGTCAATTTCTTGAAAACCACATTTCTCGTCTTCATTGAAAGTTTCTTGAACTATTTTGTACACAGAGCCGAGTTCTCCATGAAATGCAAATAGTCCTTGTCGCAGGCGACTTACGCCTTCCTCCAAGTTCATCCACGCAGACTTTCGTCCTTTTGGAGCCACTTTCTGCTCGTAAATTGTCTTCCTTATAGGATCTTGAAAGGACTGAAACGACAAGAAGAAACTCGGAGTATTATTTGATTAAAACAAGTGTGATTCGATATATCAGCATTCACTAATAATAAGTAAGATATACATATAATGTTCTTAAAAGCGTCGTAATAGCCTATATGCCCGTCATTTAAGGAACAGTTATATGTACAAGAGTTAATGTATCGATGTACTGCAATAACGAATTATTTATTATAGCATATTTTTCATACAGGTCTGTTACTCCCAAAATAAAAGATACCTGGAAAGAATAAATCCACTATACATAGTAATTGCTGTGACTAACAGTCTATTCAAATAAGACACCCATTCTGCTAGAGGTGATAGAGCATTCAAAGAATCTCAGCTATGAAATTGGAGTATACTTAATAGAATGATTTGCCGTAACCTATATGTATGTTGGAGATAAATTATTGATAATAATATGTATTCGACAAGCTTTTTCTGACCTTTGATGCCATTCAGTATACATATGTGTTTGTGAATATTATTTTGTCTAGGGGCGATAATCTGAACTATTAAGATGTTCTCATTGAGGATTTTGGGTATAAAAGCCAATGATTCAATGTGCCATGATGTCCGAAATGACGGACCAGATTATTTGATCAAAAAATGTTTAATAAGACCAATTTAAAATATCTGGACATAAGAAATGATGACTTGAATTTCAAAAGATCTATAAGTTAAAATATTTAGATATGTGGAATGATGAGCCGAAACATTTGGCCATTCTCAATGGGGGCTAAAAATATTTGCACATAAGAAGATTTGAAGAACATGGAAAACGATAGGACAAATTGGGTATAAAGAGTGAAATTATGAGTATACATATATGAAAATTCAGGTGCATTATACTCGTGCAATCGGTATTGTTCGTGTAAGTATCAACAGATATTTATTGTATATATACATTTTTACAAATGCTCATTAACATGTAGCAGTGTAATACGCATATAGCCATTACAGACTGTCACAATTTACGATTTTTTAGAACTTAAATGTCATCATCAGTGTTAAGGGTCTTTTTTCATATAAATTTCAGAATTCCACCAAACACTTCGGCATTCAGGCACAGTTTCAGTGTTTAAGTATAAACAAAAGCTCACTGAAGCGGACAAATACATAAATGAGAAAATTAATGTCATTTAAAAATTTGTATTTGACTTACTTTCATCTGTAATGAACATTTTGCTGCAAGCTATCAGACGTTATATGTTACACCGAGGAGAAAGTAGTAAAGAGAGTCAGCCTTATGGAACTTTATATCTGATGGGTAATACACACAATGGACACGGGAGATATGCTGGAACCTGTATAAAAGTTGTGGACTGGGTTGGGACCTCATATATTTCGTTTCATACTCAGAATACTCGGGGCATTGCTCAGCTATGTGAACTTGGCACTCGACTTTGGAAAATCAATTTTTTTTTATAGACTCATAGATTTTGGTATGTAGTTGTTTGTAGTACCAATTTTTTCGTTTGTAGTAGCCCCAAAAAAAAGTTATAGCATCATAAAAAAAAGCCCATCCACCGACTTTGAAAAAAATAAAATGTAATCATTGATTCCTACAGAGAATCGTTTGTAGTTGATTGTAGTGAAAAAATGTCCGTTAGTACTAGCATAGAAAAAAATTAGAATTTTTTTTTAAAGTCGTTTGTAGTCGTATCATCATAGTTACATTCATTTCCACTGTAGTTTTTCAGAAACTCACGTGTAATGAATATACTACGAGCCTTTGCTCTAACATCGTTTACCATTGTTTGTAGCAGCATTTATCTTATTATTAGCTTTTCGAAAACTAATGAGTCAATATATTACGAACTCTGGCTCTAAGACTATTTCTAGTTGTATGTAATAACGCTTATTTCGTTTTTTAGTAGCATCGTTTCGTTTGTAGTTGTTTGTAGTAACGTCTATTTCGTTTGTAGTAGCTTTGTTTCGTTTGTAGTTATTTGTAGTAACTACAAACAAAAGAATGTCATTACAAACAACTACAAACGAAATAGACATTACTACAAACGAAACAAATCTACTACAAACAACTACAAACAAAATAGACGTTACTATAAACAACTACAAACGAAACGAAGCTACTGCTTATATACGACTACAAATAACTTGAAGAAAAAAAAAAATTCTAACTTTTTTTCTATGCTACTACAAACGGAAATTCTTTCACTACAATCAACTAGAAACGATTCTCTGCAGGAATCAGTGATTAGATTTTATTTTTTTCAAAGTCGGTGGATGGGCTTTTTTATGAAGCTATAACTTTTTTTTGGGTCTACTACAAACTAAAAAATTGGTACTACAAACAACTACATACTTAAATCTATAAGTCTATAACAAAAAATTTGATTTTCCAAAGTCGGGTGCCAAGTTCACATAGCTGGTGCCCGGCTCGTCTCCGCTATAATTAATTTATCCACAGAGCAGCCAGGGAGTGCTAGAGGGCTAGGAATTTCCGAAAAATTAGGAGTTCTGATCGGGATTCGAATCCGATACCTTCGGACTGCCAAGTCGGGCACTTACCACTGTGCCACCGAACCCACTGTCCGACCTGAAAAGTCCTATGTATTTATTTTTCGGTCATTCCTAGGTGGTATCCCCTCCAGCTCTGTAACGCCACGTTACAATATATATATACACATATAATTCAAGAAGAAAGAATTAATATGTCATATGTGTATACTGTATTGCTATAAGATCTGACCATTAACCCTTCAATTATACATAGGTGCAAATTCGTACTAAGGTTTCGTATTTCGTCTGTATCGTTTCGGGATTAAATACTTAGCAGTTCATGAGTGTTCATAGAACAGTATAATGAGAGCACTGTGCACATGCAAAAATTCCAGAAATCTTGATAATATGAATCATCTCTTCAAAACGTGATTAAGAAATGGCTGCATCACGCAGGCGATTGAATCAGATAAATTAATAAAAAATGTCTGTAAAACATAAACAGAATGATATAATAAATAAAAAAGATGTATGTTTGTTATTTTGACTGTCGGCTTTACGAGCTCTGCCGCTGAAGCACATTCTGATTAACTTTTAAGATGTCTTACTCAGAATTGAAAATTCTTTGTGTTGTCTGGGTAAGAATATCTCGAGAACACGCTGTTTGATATCTTCAATACAATTTAAGATTGGAAAAACTGTGGACATTGGATCATCCTCAGCATACTCTTAGAATATGCCAATATGTATTTCGATTATCTTGAGTATATACATATGTAAAATACGATGGATATATCCCCACTATATACGCGTGTTACCTATTTGGGTATTCTTAAGAGTGAGGTTAAGAAATGTTGATCTCTTTGAATGTCGGTACTTTGTTGTAGAATGCGTCAGCAAGAATAAAATTACACACTCTGAATGATTTATTACGGTCCAATAAATGAATGGAGATAAAAAATCGTCGGGAATCATGATTTCTTTTTTGAATTCGATAATCAGATTTTGGGTACAGCAAAATGCCTGCTTGTCCTCCTTGCCCGACACGTAAACGACAATTTGTTATCTGGCATTAAAAAATTATTTATTATACAGAGTGTTTCACTGAAAAATTACATTTTGGTTATTTTTGTTACTAAGCAAGATATGAAAATGCGTTTGAGATTAAAGTTTTGTGGAATCAAAGGTGTCGATTTTTCGCGTATGTGAACGCTTTTATATCCATCTCATTTATAGATGTGGGATGCTACCCTGGGTTTTTTTTTATGGAATATAATTTTTTGTTGTTATAAGAAAATGTAGCGCGTATTTTTCTGAAATTTGTGAGTGCTTGCGGATTAAACTCCGTCTAGATATTCCCAAGTAATTAGGATTTAAATTTATAGATTGAGGCCTTGTCGTGGAAGTCTAAGAGCGGAATCTCTTGAATCTCTAGCGATGCTCTAAATGTTCAAAATGGAATGCACGATCCAAGAAATCCTTTAGAGAATGTGCATAAGATGATGGAGCACCATCATGCTAAAACTATATTCGTGTTCTTGTACGTTAATCAACTTCGTCTAATAACGTGGATAGCTCGGTCTGTAAAAAAGTTAAATAGGATGGACCGTTTTGGTTTTGGTCAAACATAAAGGGTCCAACAATGTATCCATTCAGAATTCCACACGAAACATTAACAGACCAAACATATTGATATGGTGTTAAGCCTTAGCTAGTGAAACTGCTAGGGCGTAGATATATCTAATTATGGGCTACCATTTAACGCTAGGCGTATCTGTTTCCTGTGGAAGTGGGAGATGTAATGCCAACGAATGAGAGCGACGTGTAGGTATACGGATTGATGTTTTATTGTAGGTAAAATAGATTGACTTACAGTGGTTGGTAGGTTTAAAAGAGTTGATGTTTCACTTCACTGAGTTCTTTCTGTGGCAATCCGTCGCCCGTTGTTATACTCGCGATAGATTTACTCGAACGCTCACAGCGATGACTTCCCTGGCCCTCGGGTGGGAAGGCTTGGTCACAAGGATCCGAAGGCACGTAAAATACTATCAGCGGAGGAACAAGCAAGACTCGATGATTTAGACGGTGACTCCTAGAGGAGTTCCGTCCGTTGCCAGGATTCGCGAAAGACTACCTATTGGTTCCGAATACTGTAGGTGCCTTAGCTCCAATTTTGGGGATAATGCACCGCAATATTGATGATCTTGCAGAAAGAGTCTTGCTTCATTCCTCGCGCTGACATGTAGTGTGAGCGCGTGGCCTGCTACTCAGCGTTCCAGGAATTACATGAGGCAATCGAAAAGTTCCATGTGCCGAAAAGAATTTACCCATTGCATTTACTTGAGTAGATCCGTTTTGGGATATAACAATGGTATCTATCTAAACCACCTCGGATTTTTGTTGGATCGATAGTGACAATTGTGTCGGTTTATCTCGCCTGTATTTTTAAACATGCACTCATCGCTGAAAAGTATACAATCAAAGAAACATGGATTTTTTTGAATCTGTCGCTCAGCCCATCTACAAAAGTGCATTCTGAGTCTATAATCATCGAATATAAGTTCTTGTGTTAATTGCACATAATAGGGATGCATTCGATGAGACCGTAAGATTCTGGTAGCCGTAGACCTACATACACCAGTACTACCTTCAATTTTCGGCAAAGAAATCCGTTTATTTGAAAAAACTGCTTCTAATCCCGTAATGACGAGAGTTTCATTAATTTTAACAGTTCTTGTATTGTACGATGTAACACCTCGGCGAGCTCTATGCTTCAGTCTAGTGATTATGGTTCTATATTCGGATGTCGCCGCTTCGGATATCGAGTTCTGAACAGTGCTTCAACCTGACGATCATTCGACAGACATTCACTTAACACAACTAATAAATCAATAATTTCGCTTGCATTAACAAGGAAGGTACTTTAGGTGCCGTCCTCTGATTTTGTTCGTTTTTAAATATATTATTCTCCATCAAAATGTAAAAGACACGTGGTTTTTTTATCGGCCGAAAAACGGTTTTAGAGGTTGAAATCAACCCCCGAAGTTGGGCTCCTCGAGGGCGGTTTTCGCAGATTCGCATATTTCCCGTCGAGATATTTAAATAGAATCAATTGAAGGATAATCCTCATGATGAATAATGAAAAATGCATTCTGGTTGGTTCTGGTGGGGTGAATGCATAAAAGTGTATAGGGGTTGAAAAGTGCGAAATTTTTATAACAAAAAACTATCTATTCGATTTTGATGAAATCAATTGCATTTGAAAGTACTAAAAAAAAATAGGAGATACATGTTTTTGCATTTTTGAATAAAACGTCGTTTAAGGGGTGAACACATCCCTATGCCAGTGCAACCAATTTCTCATTAAAGCGGCACTATTTTGCTTCAATTTGCCTTTCTAAATATTCGAAAGTTCTTTTTATTTATTAATTAAGAGGCTTAATCGTTTCAATAACGTTCGGTTGTATGTTTACCAAAACCGCCCCTTCGTTTCCTGATGTCTTTCTGGCGGGATTCGTCGTACGCTCGCGAGCTCTTCAGAACTCTTATATCCTAAGGATTTTGGAGGTCGGTGAAACCGATTTTGGACTTTAAATTTTGAAATCGCCGTCCTGTATGCAGTGGAAAAGATGAATAGTAATAAGGGCTGGTCGGTATTTGGCACAGTAAAGGCGGAACTAGCAACCGTGTCTTTATTTCCATTTACCTACCAATTTAATTGTATGAATGGGTTGAATCAAACATTAAAAAATATTAATATGATTATACAGCGCTGTGAAAATAACAGTCCGATTTAGTTTATAGCTGTCGAAAATGCCATATCCCAGTCGGGTCGGTCTTATAACGGTGAAAAATAGAGACATTTACCCTAATACTTTTGCGTGGTATATTTTAATGAGTATATTAGTGTAACATAAAAATTACCTAATGTTTTTTGAAGACGGATATCTTTCAAATTTTATCTTTATGTCTGTCAAAAGTGATTGGTCATAGTGTTGAGTAGAAATTTACTATATGTTAGTTATTATGTCGAATAATGTTACATGCGTGTACATCTTTGCATGTGCTATATCAAGTGAAGATATTGATGTCATAAGGCATCGAAATCTGATGGCATTGTTATGAATATATATTGAAATACAATTGCATCTATAGTTGCCACTGGGACTGGGCTGGGACTGTTTGCTGGATTCTTTTGTTGAATCGCGGAACGCTGTAAGTGTTGCATAATGCATCAGGGCACTGTACTCAACAACGAAAAAACCGATAAGGCCTTAAGAAGTTAAGCGAGAGGTGAAATATATGGTTTCGGTTTTCCATTTTCATAAGATTCGAATAAATCTATATAAACTAGCTGCTCGTTAGTACCCAATGGAACGTTTCCAACTACAAATGAAATATATAATGAAGTAATATTGTATTTTCCCATTTAGGTAAGTTAAATCAGTCCAATTCAGCACACACAGTCTGTTTTTGGCTTCAACAGTACAATTTTGAAATGGCCAATAATTCACTTTTGTGTCAAGTTGTGTCGACTTCTGTCAGCTAACTGGGAAATCCAGAATATCGATATGTTGTATATACATGATTGATCCTCATTATTAGTAGATGACAGAAAATGATTACTTCGTATTCGAACTTTTACATTACGAACTGTTTAAATTGCTTAAAATTTGGTGTAGAGTTTCTGAATAAATAAGCAAAATTATATAAATCACCTCAAAGTAGTAGCGATTGTATACAATGTCATGAACTCCAATTTTCAATGGGCTGTGTAGTAAGTCATCGAGAGTGGTAATGGAATCAGTAGTGGACTGTAGCAATGCGACTATGTTAGCCGTGTAAGAAGCGTAAAGGCTTAGGGTAGCCACAAGTAACATGAGAATAATAATACGAGCTGGTATTGCTCTGGCCTCATAAGAGGAACCTGTGGAAAAGGGAGAATTATTCATGAATTTTACTAACAATAAGTAGTAAGAGCTTCTTAAGATAACTAGAAATACCTTGTTGAGATACAGCGCCGACAAGAATGAGGAGATTGTCGCTCATAGTTGGCTGATAGACATTCCCTGACCAATGACGTCTTACTCTTTCTTCTGCCGAGGTGTTGAACCATTCCCATTTCAATGTCAGATGGAGTAAGCAAAATATCAAGATCATAAATACTCCAATAGCAATCCAAACGGATCGTCGGAATGGCAGTGTGAAGACATTACTGACGAAAGACAATGGTGGTTGTCGAAAAATAAACTTAGCTCTGTATCCAACAATATTAACAATGTCAGATACATGAAAATTACTCATATATTTTATTTACTGACCTAGTAGGAGTGTAGAGTGAAATATATTGCACTACCCCAATACGCTCAGCTGTAAAGAATGTCGCCGTTCCACCTATATCGATTTCACCCCTGGCTAACTGACCGATCATGCCGCTCCAAGAGCCGTTTTTACTTCGGTACCCCCAAGTATTTGCGATGGAGAAAGTCACTCTGCGTCAGATTAGAAAAAATTTGAAAATTTTTCTAGAGCATGTATAGGGTACTGCATGTGCTAACTTATTATTTATTGGTATTACATGCAATGACACTACTCACGATTACAAATTTAGAAGATCCCAGACAATGCATGTCACTTTATAGGAATCGTAAAGGTATCATAGCCTTTTGCGAGACATGTATACATTTCAATTATTGCACACGAATATTGTACACCGCGTGTAGGTATTAAACAAATAATTTCAAAGAGTTTATCATACAAAAAATTGATATTATACACTACCGGTCAAAAGTTTAAGTTCACTTGCTTTATTTTTGAATTCTACACAATTAAGTCGGCTACTCAGTGAATTTTGTCAAGCACGCGCGTCTTACCTATAAGAAGTGGATACACGCGACTGGTCAGAGTGTAGATCGCGTAGATCGAGCACAAACTTGTTATGACAGGTTGCATTCTTTCGATGCGTCTAGTGCATATTACGCGTAACATCTTAGTGCTCGGGAGCTCTTTCCAAAAGTTATATTTCCAATTGTTTTTCATATTTTTCTTTACAAAAAGGTAAGTAGAACATTGTTCATATTGAAAATCGTTACTGTTAAAGAAAAATTTATATTTAAATTGACATAATTCGACAAATATCATCTCATTATCGAAATGTGAAGAAAACTACATATTTTATGTGTCAATTGTAGAGAAATGGGTCGAAAAGCAGAGCTGACTGTAGAGACACGAGCAGTCATTGCGGCATTACACGAAGAAGGTTATTCAACGCGAAAAATTGCTTCTAAATGTGATGTTTCTCAAACTGCAGTCATGGGAGCGTTACAAAGAAGGCGAGGTGAACCTAAACTTTTGACCGGTAGTGTATATTCACGGATTCTACACGACACGTTCTACAATAAATAATTCTGTACTGTAATTTAATTATTTTACACGTATAGAAATTTATTATGTACAATAAAGTTATGTGCCTTGTGTATTTTACACAAGGCTTAAATCATTCTACATGACTAACCCACCAAGGTGTGTTCACATCGAGGATCCGACGGGTATAATAATTCACCTTGTCACAATATATACTTACCGTGACTAGATTACATTGTCTCTGACCATATTTCTCATTTTATAGGATAATGGGCTAAGGTCGCTAAATTTTAATATATTTTTAGATTTTAAAAATTCCAAATTTTTAATACACGTTAAAAGTTGAGAAAATACATAGATTACAGCAAAACTTGATTTACCTCAAAAACATTTTTTTAAAATTTTACGAAAATATATAATTAATTCAAAATTTTCGTCCATCATATTGGCATCCCTCATTCTTAACGCATTTCTCTTTTGATAAGCTAGGAGCGTCATTTCAATATTTAAAGAATTAATTCGGCACGCGTGAGACGTTAAAATTTAACATAGAGCGTAAGGCGGGATCTAGGTGTGTCATACGCAACCTCGCGCACGTCGGATTAATCTCTTCATTTCGAGAGTAATATGTGAAAAACATCATGTAATTACAGATTTGACAATTTATCATAGTTCTTTTTTTACATTATTCTTCAACCGAGAATATTCGCTTTCTTTACAAAATGAGGAATATGCATTCATAAATCAGAAAATTTAATAAGGAAGCAAATTCATTTAGAATAAGTCCCAAAAAGTTCTCAGTTTCTGTAAATAGTACAAAATAAAATTTCCGATTTGTGATGTCAAAATTCCTAGTAACCAATTCAAGTAAAGAAAAGTCTGGTTTTTTTTTCCAGTGGAAATGAAAATCAATATGTACGGATAATAAAGATCCTAATAAATAATAATAAAGATCACGGTGGTATGATACACGGAGTTTATATAACTCATTACTTGATACTCACGTAGCATTCATCATTCGGACGAGGTGCATTATCCATGGGTAATTAGTTTTTGTGATAGTATCTGAATGCTTGTCCTGATAATCTGTTAAATGATTTATTGTATCAGGATCCGTCACCTAAAAGATGGATTTATATCTATAAATAAATTGTATAGCGTTTAAAATATTGAACTGTTATCACTATTTCTTTTATGTATACATTGTTGGCTGTTATTTTGAAGAATTCGATGATTAACACAAGACAACTTGTTCATCTGTCAAAATTGTATCTTTTTCTCTATCAGACATACTTAATTGCTCTTACTAATCTTCCATCAATATTAATTAACACATGATTGACCGATTCGTTACTTATAATGGCTTTATAGACCGAAATTAAATGTTTAGCTAATCTCCTATCAATATCAATCTTCATATGATTGAACGGTTCATTTTTTTATAATGTCTTTAGATGTGTCCGACTTGATATAATGAAACCAATATGCTCAATCTAGATAAAATTGTTTATAACGTACCACCAAACATGATTTTAGCGGAGTGTTTGCAAGATTCCTTCTTCTTCTCGATGACACGTCATGATTCAGAAGAGTTACTCCATTTTGTAAATCCCATAATCCTATTTCCTCAATAATTAATTTATGATAAGGACTCGGTCGATATGGAGAGAGTAATCTCGTTGAATTTTTATCAAGTCTTTGGGCCAATACTAACTCACTGTCCGGGAAGATTGCGAGGTTTCCAAAGACACTATCTAGATATGAATCGTTTTGTTTCTTCCTATCCTTTAAATCTTGTAGAATGAGCCATTTGAGCGGCCCTACAAATAATGCACTCTCGTTCGCCTAATAGGAAATTGCGATTTTATTGCATATTATTTAGACTTATCAAAAAGTGCTTAAAAATTGGTTTCAACATTGTCTCACCTGCCGCAATATTGTGATGGCCTCGGGGCAGTTGAGGTCGAGTAAGAACGAGACGTAATGTCGATTCTCGCGGGAAACTCTCATATCGAGATTGTGATTAGATATTCTAATATCATATGATAAATGAGCATTTGACATTGCTCTTAATAAATGCAAGGCATCATCTGTTAAATATATAAAATTATAAGATTTAAAATAAAGCACTTATCTCTTCTGTTAAAAACCGAGATTATTAGATACACTTTATCCACTATTCCGAAAGTATTATACCAACAACGGAAGCTATGATAATATAATGCATGGCTATCTGATCAACACGTGCACTATCTCATAAAACATTATCTCAAATCGAGCGTTTACAATATACGCCTTGTGAATTCTTATGGATAATCGCGGTAATGCAATCGCTGTTTCTTGTACTTTACACATAAGGTATAGCAACTAATCTTAACACACGCTAATAAAGTTGCTCGTGGTCTATCGTAGATCATTTTATGATTTTATGAAGAACATACACTAATTTACCATGCTCAATGAAAATCATAAAAGGATTAAACTACGTCAGATCGACATTTCGAAACATTTCGTGAGTGTAACATATTATGAATCCTTGGAAATTTAATCATCAGCCAACGTTTTTAGAGACGCACTTTGATCGATGCACAAGAAGGCGGTCATCCTCGTAGGAGCAAAGAGTATGCTCGCGTCCACAAGAAATTTCAGGAGAGTTCCGTCCATTCCTGAAGAAACAGGGAGACACGCGTTAATTATTAAAACTCCAAGAAGCACAGAAATCATGCTTGGTTAACATGGATCTCGTAAAATTTCCGATGCTGTGCTCGTTTTCCAAGTTCTCAAGATAATGTGGCCTTCGATTATTATCGATGGCGAAGTCATGTTAAGGGGGCATATGTCGATAAGATGGAAAAAAAATTATTCTCAATTTACGATTGGATATTCAAACACGCCATCGCATAAGGATAATGTACGTAACTTTCTAATTATAGTTTCGAAGATACCGAGGATTTCTTGGTGAATCCGCGTATAATGGCTACCCCTTTGCGCAAACCCTTCATTACATATGACGTTCCTGTAGCCAGCCAGCCGGTCTTACTCCCATACATTAGTTGTTCATTTATCATTCTCGTCTTCTGTTATTTGTTCCCCTTTCTCCGTTTTTGTCCACTCATAAATTATTATCACTGCTGCTACCTGATAGCGAAGAGGCAGTATATACCAGCGTATCGCGGTCCAGTTTACTAAGTACAAGTATTTTGTATTTCGAATCACGTGAACGTATTTCAATCCTAGGTGTTAAATAAAGTCTTTCGACGGTTCCATAAATCGTTGATAAGATAGATATGTTAGTAGATGATTCACTGAAGCTCATTTGGCTTAAGCTTGGAAATGACTGCGTAAGTCTGCTGTCGGAAATGCAAAATATACTATGACATCCAATAAGTCCAATAAGTCACCAATAAGATATCAATATGACAAAAGAATATTTTATAATTCTCCCAAAAATGCCATTAAATACAGTTGAACTGAGCAATCAATTCTAGGCTGGTTAGTCATATGTTTATAATTAACATTGTACACCTAAATGCCTGAATAATAATAATAATTGCTGCTGCTTCTGTGAGTGAGTGATGCACGCAAATCCCGCTTCTCACTTGCTTTGCAAAACAAATTCATCAATGGCGGCAAACGTTTTCATGGTTTTATTGTTTTATTGGGCTACCGAGGATAACTTTGGTATTTTGTTCAGATGTTTACCATTTAGGTATATCTCTGTGGACATGGATTGATCCGAGAATTGAATAAAGCTTCATCTCTTTTTCTAATCTATTGAGGCCTTGTCAAATTTTTTTGATTTTCCAGATTTTTGTATGTAAACGTGGTTATTCCGAAAGTATAACTAAATATCTAAGCTTTGACGTGCTTCATTTATGTACCTAATGATGTCTCGTGGAAGAAGAAGAAGAAAAAGAAAAAATGTTACATATTACGAGGAATTCATTACAGCTTACATTTTTTTTTTGGATTATTGTGAATAATAAAATAGTTTAATGTTGATATATGTGTAGGAATCTTCAAGACAATTGCATCGGCTGAAGTATACGTAGGGCAAGAAAAAACGCTTCAGAGGCATACGCTCAAGGATATCGAAGTGCGTAGTAGAGTGGGTGCCTCCGTTTTGTAAGATTTCTACAAATCCTCACAGTAGACTGTGATGCAATATTCACTGTGATGGGTATGCAATATTCATGGTTAGTACTTCTTGTCAAAGGATGATTCATCAGATGTAATAGAAAGGAATGAAAGACAAAGCAGTCAAAATGCGAACTAAGAAAAGAGGTATCAAATTAACCAGCGAGGAAGCAAAGAAGTGTCATAATGGCACACAGGCAGTTTGCGTGAAGCACCAGTGACTGACACGTGAGTCGAGCCTCTTTTATGGGTCTTATCATTCACGCGACCAGTGTTGTATCCTCGTAAAATGTGTAAAGTACATCTTTATCTAATATCTTTATTGCAGCGATCGCGATTAATTGAAATATTGATACGTATGACTGAAATTTGTGATGGGTATAGCGGAGGGTGTGCGAAGGGTGCGTTTTCAATTTACTGCGAAAACATACGTTGTTTAAATAAATCTGGCTATAGCGATTGCAAATACAATACTATCTCGCTATAAGTAAATGTTAAGGCCGTTAGGAAAATACAATTCTATGAAATTCGCGTTTCTCGACTACTGCGTGACAGGTTTGAGAATCGTGCATGTATTAGTGGTGCCTGTGAGCCTCACCTCTTCTCATTCTAAAAGAATTATAGTATCACAGTGAACACATACGATTTTACGCAATTGCTTCTTCTCTTATAATCAGAGGTCTGCGCCAGAGTTAGGTGCGTCTGATGCACAGAGTTTAAGTGGGGGAAACTATCAAGCTCAGCGGAGCGGAACGGAGAAGAAATTTGCTTATAACGAGGTAGTGCTGTACAAATGTATGACCATCCGGACTGCTAATTACTCATACTTGGACAGAATATACGAATTCTGCGTATTTAATATGCAAATATTTTTTCGCATTAATTCAATAATTCTTTTTATGCATTATCATTCTCAACGTTAGTATTTTAGATCACTCGGGCATCTCTATTCCATTTTAGATATATATCTAATCTAAAAATATATTGAGCTGGTTATCAAATAATGCTAAAGTCAATTTTTACTGTTTCAATTTAAGCGAAACATTAATTAAACGTAATTAGTGTTTGGAATCGGTTATTTTAAAAGGTACAAATCAATTTAGACTGAGCTGGGCTAAATTTTGACTTCAACTTTAGAGGTAAAATGAGATCAAATAGATATAGCTGCTATGTATTAAATATTACGTAAACTTTTATTGGTAGATTGATTCATCTAGAGAAATTAGTATGCATCTGAATCAAGTTAAGTGATAAAAGCGTGTCTTGAGAAAATTAAAGATTTTAAAAAAGTAAACGAGAATAAAAGAGTAACACGTTCTACTTTTTAATATTGCAGTAAAGTATATTATATGAAGGTGCGCACTTTCATCTCTTTGTCATTAATAAAACAGCTTACATATGCGTAATACTCAACTAGCATGAAAATGAAGTTGAATCAACTTTCACTGAAATGACACACGGACAAGTTTAGTAAAGAGTATTATCATTGCATATTTCTCTGATTTTGCATTGATATTTATATTATGAGGAAATAGTGCAGCCGATTTTTATTGATAAAGCCTACAAAAAGTTACGTGAATTTGCAAGGAATTCATTGTCATCAGTGTTATAACTATACGGATATTTGCAGTAATAACCGTTAACTGTATTTCAGGAGTATCCCATGTTGTATGTTACATGTCCTACAGCGTATGAGATAGCTGCATCTATATAAGTCCTACTATTTCTCAAAATAATTTCTCTGGAATAGATTAACCTGATCTGTGTAAAGGTGGCTTTATATGGCACCAAAAATGACACCGAACGCGTGATTTTAATAGAAGGAAACAGGAACTATGAGAGAAATAAAGACAGAAAAGAGAAAAGAAAATCACAAGGACTTTGCTTCGTTAATCCAATACTCAATGGTAGGGAGATTCATGCGTTGATTGGCTTGCGAGTGCATGCCGGGAAGTAGCTAAGTGTCGCGCGTCCCCACGCCTTTCTGCCAGTGTTACGGAGCGGTCATACTGTGACGGATCGTGAGGTTCTGTTCAGGGCCAGTGAAACGAAGCAACCACGTCACTGCGCTCTACTGATTCGCACGATATTGAGTCTAACATTTGAAGGAGGCAACAGGGACATCATGACGGGCACTGGAAATGGAACAGTCGCTGAGTCTAAGGTTGAAGAGAAAAAGCCGGAAGTTTTTGAAACTGAAATACCACTTCCTAAGGGTAAGTCAACGTTTTCTTTTACACCGATACCGCAATGTTTCTCACGCGTCGCCGTGCCACGCACCGATGTGTGATACTTTCTCACGATAGAATTACTTTCAAACCCTCCTCCGGATAATTATCTGTCTAGCATGTAGTCAACCTATACATGTACGGAACTTTGGCATCATTCGTCCTGATCGACAATTATAATTCATATTTTTGATTGTTTTATAAACATCGGGATATTTAAATTGCGAGATGTTTCAGCGGTAATCTTGCTCGATGATCCTTAAATCTAGAATTTTTTTAACAGTTTTATCATGGATCTGTAGATGGATAGGTCAATCCTGTATCGTTTTATCTTTGTTTCTTTATCATCGACGCTTGCATCATACCATAGTTCTCATATTGGTTTTGATTGAATCTTTGATTAGGATATGCTAATTTATGTAAATCAACGAACAGAGGAAGAAGCACAACATACTGTTTTTGAAATTGTGAATCATGTTTTACCTTACCTGTTGAGATGCATATGTAAGCAATATGTTCATAGTATTCTAAAACAAACGACGTTTACATTTGCAATCGGGTAAATTACAATCGGAATAAAGCTATGCATTGCCGTATGGCGTATTTTCATGTGATTTTTACGAATTATTCTAACTTCTATGTGGCCAGTTTCCATGATTGTTGATTGTCTCGGCAATGAAAAAAATTCGATACAAAAGAAGGTAATTTATCTTGAAGATACAATTTTACGTACACGTGACAAGCCAATTAATCTTTATCATAATCAGAAGCTTAAAGCACGTAACGTCCTTTACTATGTATTAGTGAAACGGAGGGTCATATACATACATTGGCATGAATTTTCAGCTCAATGAGCATGTATGAGTGTTCACGTAGGAGTATATGCGAATTACATTGTGCCAGCTGGTACCGTTTCTTTTATAGCACAAAGAACAGTAGGCATTACAAATGTGAGGCTAGTTGTGTATAAGTTTATACATATTGGTTTATATAATAATACCGTAACTGGAATTGTTTTCCATATTGTTATCATTAGTTTTTTTTCACAATAGTCCAGTAGTGTCTCATACTAATTTTTAGATCACTACATACCATTTAACTAAATAGAAATACAGGCACCTCCATGGAGTGGTATGTTTTTAATACATGTTTGATCTTGGCTTTTCATTGTTTTATTACAAATGTCCGTAATAACGTATAACAGCTGCGTAAACTTTATTATAAAATTTTGTTTATTTTTATATATTTACAAAATTGATGAATCCATCAGCGTACTGATTCAGTTTTCATCATGGAAACCTTGAGCTTTTATTATATGTTGAATTGAAGCCGTAAGACTTTTGACCCTGTTTACTAGAAAGGGTGCATACAATTACATACCTGGTTTCGCATATGGGAAAGAACGCACTATTCCGTATATATTGTTTCAATAGTGAGTTAGGTTATAGATTTTTTAATGTTCCATTATCTGGGAGATAATGTACAAGTACAAGTACAAGCTAGAAATAGTGAGTTAAAAACAGAAATTCGTTATAGGAAAGGTGAAAGTCCTGAGAGAAAATATATTGCGATCTTAAATGCCATATGGTATGCAGTGAAAAGACACATCATGTATATTAAATTATTTACAAACTTGAAAAAAATAAAATGAGACATTACGCGAAGCGGAAAAACATAAAAGATATACAATGTGAAGTTTACAAATTCAAGAGCATAAATCAAGTATGAGAAGCAATGAGTACTGAAATCCTCAGCCGAGTCGCGCTGCAGTAGAAATTTGTATTATTTTTTTTAGTAGTAATAGTTATTACTATTATAAAGAGATATTCATATCAATGAGTCGATTTTAACTGCGGCCGCCAAGTATACCAAAACTGCAAAATAGGAAATCATAAATTAATTATTAATTATAGGCACATTAATAATGAACTCTCATCCAGATAAAATGCATATATGTATAGCTTTGACCGTTAAATTATTATTTGCATTACAGTTTCAAATAGTATTATTGAAAAGTGAGAGGATGAAACATGTAATAATGTAATCTTCAATTTTTAATTATTGCTAACGTCAATACTGTGTTAATAATTCCAAATTGTATGTATGAATCATGTTTGTTTTTTAAAATGGCAGCAATTGGTTTTAGACCCTTTAACTCTTTCATGACCAAGATCGTGTCCATAACGCGGATTGCTGAAATGGGGCAATGATCGACCCCAAGAAGTAACACATTTTGATATTTCGAATTCAACGTCTAAATTCCGAAAATAGGCGACCAAAAAACAACTGATCCGATTGAACCGAAAATTGGTTCTTACGTGTTTTGCAGATCACTGATTTCAAATCCAATGTCAAAACTGAAAATTAAAATGGTAGTTTCATTTGTTTGTAGGCCACATTGAGTCCTTTGTTGTGAATTTTGAATGTTTGCCAGTGAATTCAATATCATTGACTTCAAAAATCCTCAGATACCAATTTTCGTTTAAGGAGGTATTCTACTCTAAAGGGTCAGAAGAATCGATTTTTTCCCGCATTTTTCACAAGTATTTGGCATGTAAAAGGATTTTGCTGGATTCGAACAAATAATAATGTTTTAGGGTCTCATAAGCAGAGGTCTCACCGTACGCTCCGCCCAGAGAAAAACTTTAAACGTATTTTTCTCGAAACCACTTTTTTCAAACTGGTTTGCATGATATCTCAAAATGTATTTTAAATTGCACTCAAATTTTGCTCACATATTCATCAGATGTGTGGCTATCGCCTAAACTAGAATTAAGTAGAAGTGATTTTTATTTCTATTTTATATTGCTTTAAAGTTGAAAAAAATAGGTAAAAATGAATACACCATTTTCGAAGTAGCGCCATTTTTTTAATTTTCATTTTTTCCCCCAATTTTAGTAAGAATTGTTTTGTCTTTTCTTGTTTCCGATGAAAAGAACGTCCGGAATCGTGAACACCAGTTTGTATGTGGTTTTTTTTTTTCTTAATGGAGTCACGTCGGCCGGCAAACAGCGATTGTATTAAAAAAAATTTCAATCAAAAAATTTCTGTGGATACCTGAAACGTGTAGTAGCCGAAAGAATCCCGTCTCAAAAGACATTATAGTATTTTTGTAAATTCACAAACTTAGGATAAAAATCAGGACTCCATACTAGAATACCCTTACAGGAAATGGAACAGGTTATTGTTACATATAATTTGTCATACAGACGAGGCTGAAAGCGAGGAAACTTCGCACCCAAAAATCTTTGAACAGAAAGCACTATCACTTATTTCATTACACAAAATTGAAGCCTTTCGATAAAATGTCTTTACCTGCGGAGCCGAATTTCGTAATTATTCTTTAGAGAACATATAAAATATAACTGAATCTAGAAAGTGACAACATTTCTATTTATCATAGCGACCCCACAATATCTGTGCCATCTCCTATTTACATTTGATCCTCGTGTTGCGCAGAACAACCGTTGAAAATTAAAAAAAAGGGGGCATACAGGAAAAGCTTTACATCTATCACGTTTATACGACATCGCTGCACTTGAAATTGTTATCGTATAATCAATAAAGAGATTTTTGGCTGCGAAATTTTCTTGCTCCCAGCTTCGTCCATGTAAAAAATTACCCATACAAATATCCTATATTGGGCTGCATTGACTGAGCCATTTTTAATTTCGGAATTTTTACTTCGTATTCGATAATGAATTCAACACTGGCTTATAATAACCTTGTCATTGGATCAGTGCCTCATTTCGGCCATTACAGGATTAAATCTACTCAACCTTTGAATTCGAAATCAGTTTCCTGCAGTCTAAATGCTGCAATAAGAATCGCAAGAAAAAGGGTTTTGAGCTAAATGAAATGTAGAATTCAGTCGAAAATAAGTAGGAGTAGGGCTGATCAATACGAGATATTAAGTTTATAAAGCTTCTAACGAAGAAGGTGTCGATGGTTCATATCTCTCATAACTTCTCGAAACGTTTTTACTGGTTACCCTACGCAGAATCCGGCGGGTACACAGGATTTGCTATTTTCGAGTTACGGATATTGTGTGTCGTTCTCCCATTAGCAATTCACATAAAATAATAAAGTATTTCATTAGGGGATAATGAATAAGTAATTAATGACAAATTTTGTGATACACAGTTTACAAACGTTTTTCTTCTTTTTAGGCTCGAACACCCCGCGTGAAACATGTCGAAATGTATTTAGGTATTCGTTAACGCAAATAAGACATTACCGTATGTTCTATGGAGTTTTCTGTAAACAGGAATGTATGCCCGCGTGTGATTTTTATCTAAAATACGGGTTATACCGCTTGGTTTAAGCTGCTAATTAGGGTGAAATTTACAACAAAAATTATGAGGAGGTGATTTAAGTTTTGTTTGTAACGAATGCATAATATACAACCATGTGATTCAAAAAGTCGTATCCTGTTTGCCTCGATATTTATATTTTTCCTTTAAAATATGATTAAATTCCTTTCCCTTTAAAATATAAATTGGATTTATTTTTGGTGCTAGTATAAGAAATACCTTGTCGAAGAGAAATAATAGTACATTATGCATCAAGGGAGTAAAGTCGTTGATTATTCCCGCGGGTGAAAGTTTAGTGCCCGAGCGAAGCAAGGGAAGTAAATCACCGGAGGGAATAATCGACTTTACTCTCGTGTTACATATAGTGCTTTATTCACGACTGAGCTATAATAACCACTTTATTCCCTGAAAAGTGGGACTTACTCAGCCACCGTCATTGTGATGGAAATATACGTTTTTTCAAATATTCAAAAAATTCAAAATGTTTAAATTTTTCACCTTATCAAAACTTTGAAAAATTTTCAAAAATTTTTAAAATTTTCAAAATTAAAAAAAAATTCAAAGATTTGCGGGAAAACCAAATATGCGGGAATAAAATGCTACTTTAGTCCTACTTTTCAGGGAATAAAGTGGCTATTATAGCTCAGTCGTGAATAAAGTATATTATTTATTGTT